TTAATAATAAATTTAAAAAAAAAGAAAATGGTGGTGATGAACAGATGTGCCAATATGGAAAAATGCAAGAGGTAGATAAAATTGACTGGTTGGGGGAAAAATCAGTATATAAAATATATGTGTTATGATTATAATTATGAATATGGGATTGGAAAGGGACATTAAAATGTGAAGGTATTTGTAGGAGTGGCACACTTAGCAAAGATATTTCTAATTTTCTTGCCTTAAAAGTTCCTATATTTCCATAAAGCTATTAGATACTCTGTAATAATCTTGAAAATGAGCACCTTTCCAAACTGTCTGTCTAGGGTTGGATTCTGGATGGTATCCCAGAAACAAGGGAGCAGACCTTGATGACCCAGACCCTCGGGATCAGCCCCAGGCATGTTAGTAAGTAGCCTCCTTGGTCAGACCCTTTTGCTAGGGCTGCAGCCTGAGAGAACCAGAGAGGGAGGGAGGAAAGGAGAGACTTGCCACCCTGACCTTCTCACTGTCTTCCCAGGATCCCTCCTCAATCCAGCACCATCTAGAGAAAGGCTTGATGGGCCTGTGGCAAAATGAGAAAAAGGAGGGTGGCACAGTCCTGAAGTCATTCGAGTTTGGGTGCTGAGAGCCTTTTGTTTCAGGAATGCATGAGGATGGAATGTCTTTTGGGTTAATGTCATTCCATGGGAAAAGAAGCATACAGTAAGTCCATTCATTTGTCTCGAATCTCCTACTCATCATGCTCTTTTTCTCCTTTGCCCAGTTGTGCTGAGCGCTCCAGACACAGTTCTGATTGAGAGGAATGTGGGGAAAAGAATCGACCCTCAGACTGGAGGTACAGCCAGCTATAGGCCTCCCTCTCCACCCCGCTCCCTTCACTATGTTCCATGCATAAGCAGAGGGTTCATGAAAGCCACACAAGCAAACTGAGGATGCCACAGGGTGAAAGACACTTTGGAGATAATGAATTCCAAAAGATGACGAGGCAGAGGCACTAAAGGCTTGAACAAGGAGCCCTAACATAGCAGAACCTGTCTGTCATACCTGTGCACCTGGGCTTTGGTCTCACTCTCTGATGAGCCCATCTCCTGGCTTGAGGACATACACAGGAAGCAGGAAACCTACCTCTGTTTCCTTCAAACAAACTCGTTTCATTCGTTATTTAGGGTGTATGCTCCAGCAGGGCAGTCAGAACAGCGAGGCATGAAGGTGGTCGAGGTGAACTGGGAAGTGCTGTGGGGAACAAGATCCTTGAACTGGGTCTTCAAGAACAGGCAGTTCACAAGATAGGGGTTGCATGCTCTTGAACTCTTAGGCTCCGGCTCTGGAGACAGACAGTCCTGGGTTCGTGAATCCCTGACCTTGTTCTTTCTAGCTGTATAACTGGGCTGGGTTGCTCATCTCTAAACTCTATATGTACACCTACTTAAGGTAGAATCACCCAAGAACTATCTTAAGATAGGACGGCTGTGAGGAGGAAGTTAGAGTCTGAAGGTAGGTACAGGTCAGAGTGATAGTCTAGAATAAGTGCTCAAAAAACCACAAGGGCCCCCAGTTACCATCGTGCTGAACGCTGTGACCATGGTGTTCTTGTTGTAGTAATGAGTGTAGGCTGTGTAAGGGCAGCACCCTGCATCACTGGGGCCAGGCAGTTGACCCCAGCAGTACACTATTGGGGTCAACTGACGTGATCAAAACCTTGGTGGCCTGGCGTGTGACCTGTCAGGCTGCTGCTAACCGAAAGGTGGGCGGGTCTTACCCATCAGCCTTTCCTTAGAAGAAAGAGGGAAATCTCTTCCTGTAAGATGTTCAGGCTTGGAAACAGGAAGGAGGATTGCATCCCCCCACAGTGGCTTTGACAGTGGGTTAGTTTCAAGGCCCAGCAAGCCCCCAGGCTAGATGCCATCAGTCACCTAAACTGCTGCTTCAATAAGATCATTCTGACCACACTTCTCTTGCTTGCAGAAATTTACCATACCACCTTTGATTGGCCCTCGAAATCAGAAATCCAGAACCGACTGATAGCCCCAGCGGATATCTCAGAGCTGGACACAGCTCGGAAATTGCTGGTATATCACAGGAACATTGTCAAGATCATGCCTTCTTATCCCAAGATCCTCAAAGTCATCAGTTCTGACCAGCCATGTGTGGATGTCTTCTACCAGGGTAAACACAAATGGGAGGCTCCACTTGGATGCTGCCTATAGGCCCCCTTCCCCCAGACACCCGTCAGAGAACCAGAGCTCCTTTCCACCCCTGCCTTTCTAATCTGAACATCTCCTAATGTGACAATGGCCAGGGTCTGGACATCATGATGGCCCAATTCCTTGCCCAGAAGCGCCTGGGCTAAGCTTTGTATAGAGGCATGGTCAGATTGCTGACCCACAGCAGGTTTGAAAGTAATGGGTCATGGAGAGGAGATGGTTCGATTCCGGGGTCATAGTAGCAAGGCGTTTTGGCCTGACAGTGTGAGAAGGGAGAGAAATATTAGAAAGGTTAAAAAAAGAAAAGTGGCAGCAGTCCATCCCACCACAAGAACCAGAAGCACCCTGATGTAGCTCAGGTGCTAGGAGTCCATTTGAAGCAGAGAAAGCTGCCTTTACTCTTGCCTCAAAAACCCCAGAACCTGGAGGTCAGATGACCTTCACTGCATGCCATCTGGAAGTCTTTGGCAACTGTGGGTCCCTCTGAGCCTTAGTTTTGCCATCCTTTAAGTTGAAACTTTATACCTACTTCACAGGCTTAGGTGAGAATAATTGAGTTTCTGCAGTCCCATACTCACAGCCTGGTGCCCAGTTCTATTTCAGAGGACCTGACACAATACCAACAAGCAAAACTGTTGCCATTCTTCAATATTTTATCAGAAAGGCAAGGCAAAGTTTCTATAATTCTGTCCCAGAGAAGGTCTATATTTTTTAAAGGTTTTTTTCATTTACTTTTTTAAAATTAATTTTAATGAAATTTTAGAGACTTTGGATTTCCATTCATTCATTGTTGCACTTTTTTCCCTGCCCAGCCTCCCCCTAGTTTGCTTTTTCTCTTTGAAAAGTAAAAATCTTTCAGTGTTATACAATTCCTCCCCCCATGCCCACTCCACTATGCAGCCTTCATTCTGGACTCCTATCATGACAATAATACCTAATCATATATCCCTTTCCCATCTTTCCCAGTCTCCCTCCAACCCCGATGTCAGTCCCGTTTTGCAACAGTGGCAATATTTGTCCTTTTGTGACTGAGATATTTCTTTCAGCATAATGTCATCCATTTTGAATAATATTTCATGAGTTCCTTGTTTTTCAATGCTGCATAGTATTCCATTGTGTGAATATACCACAGCTTCTCTATCCATTCATTTGTTGATGGGTACGTAGGTTGTTTTCAACTATTTGCTATAGTGAACAAAGCCATGATAAACATGAGTGTGTATATCTGCTTGGGTGGCTGTTATGGTTTCTTTGGGGTATATTCCCAGTAGTGGAATTACTAGGTCAAATGGTATTTCTATTTGCAACTTTTTGAGACAGCGCCATACAACCTTTCATAGCGGTTACACCATTTTATACTCCCACCAGCAGTGAATAAGGGTTCCAGTTTCTCCACAAAAGGCCTTTTTTTTTAAATTAAAGTTTTTCATATTAGTTTGCTTGCAAAGTTCATATTCATTGTGTCTGACACTATCCTTCATTCACATTGTGCTTCGTATAATCATTCCCAATCATTATGTTTTGTAAAATTAATCATCCCTGAACTATGTCCACCAGTGACATCTTTCCAGACCCTTGCAAAATCTTTCCTGTTTCCTATGATTTACCCCCTGCCCTCACCCCTCTGCTCCACCTCACCCCACTCCCCTTGGATCCTCATACATGTTTTTCTAGTTATCTTTCTATTTCTACAACAATGGTCTTTTGCAGTATTTGTCTTTATGGGACTAAGTTCACTCAGCATAATGCTCTCCAATCCCTCCCAAGTTATGTAGTAATTTTTGAAATTGTTGTTCCTGAGTGCTGCATAGTATTCCATGATGTAATGTGCCAAAATTTCTCAATCCATTAAATGGTATTTGGAAATTTGGGCTGTTTCCATGTTCTTGCGATGGTGAATAATGCTGCTTGTTTCAAAATTCAATTATCTCCTTTCTTGCAGTGGTGAGTGAGTGAAGTCTGTTTTGACACAATCCAAACACGGACCTACTTCAGGGTTATTGTGGGTTTGGTTCTAGTCCCCAGTGAGAAGGCATGTATCACTGTAAAGTGAGTGATGTGATGGGGTTTTATATCTTAGACATACTTTGGGCATGTTGCTAGGAGGGGCTATTCCTTGGAGAGGGATATGATGCTTGACACAATAGAGGAAGCCCCTCAACCAGGTGGGTTGACACAGTGACTGCTTTGGTGAGCTCTAATGTGGAAAGAGGTATGCAGGTGGCAGAGGATAGGACAGGGCTCAGATCTGTTGTTCATAAGGTTACTATGCTCAGTTTGATGGTACCTAACAACAAGCATCATATTAAAATTATGTTTTTGCTTTGCTGTAGTGTATTAAATCTTTAAGCGTGCACTCTGAAAAAGTTTGGACCATTAGGAGAACTACCAATTTGTGACCTATATCCATGAAGAGAGCACATGCGATTATGAAAATGACACCAGTAGACTTGCTTGATGTCGAGTGCCACCAAACTACAATTTGTACAAAATGTCCTGTCTGTGTAGTGTAAGAAAGTGAGACATAAAATAGGAGATATTCCTGTTCCCAGATATTTAGGACAACTTTACAGCTTACAAATCCATCATATATTCCCACATCTCCCCTCAAAAAGAGTTGTCTTGATGGGAGATAGGCTCACTGGCCCTCAGCTGCAGCGGGCTTGAGGGGAAGCTTTACTGAAGGCTCGGGGGTGATTTGGCCTGGACAGCATCAATAGTGCAGCCTCTGTCTCTGAAGGGGTCAACCAAAAGGTGGATGTCTAGAAAATAACACTACTTTCAAAAAATGGCATGCTCATGATAGCTTACAATTTACCAGCGATTTCTTATCTCGAAAGGATCTTTAGTAGCAAACACTACCCTCTTAAGATAAACAACCACAACATTTATCTTATGCCACGATTCTGAATTTGCACATTAATTACTTCCAAATTACTTAATTAAATTTAAAAAGTTCATGTGATCGTTCATAAAGAATTCATGCCTGGAATTGTAAATAAAAATGTGAGTGTCTGAATATTAATTATTATTAATTAATAATGCAGGGAGATAAATTGGAAATTGAAATGCAAAATTCTCTCTCTGTGTGTGTTTTTTTAAAAACCTCTCTGCAGTGCATCCGGCAACCACATATTTTTTTAAAAGAATAATTAGATGTTGAGACTGTCTGGGGGATCATTACTTCTAATTAACTTAGTTATTTACTGTAAATTAAGCATCATTTGTAAGCAGGCTGCTCTGCCCATAGCATTTGTGCTCCTCAGACACGTTGAGTTGTGAAGGTCTAAGAGTCGAGAGCCTGGTTTGGGTGGCTTCCTTCAGGGCTCTCACACTGGGGGAAATTGTGACATGTAAATGGGCGAGCTGCCACAGCTGTGCCAATTCTGAGTTCAGTTTATTCATCTGTAAAATGGGCACAGGAATGACGTGTCTGTCATGGGAATGTTAAACAAATGAGAGTTCAGCTTAGCAATAAATAAAGGCTATTGGTGATGACATTGATGATGATCATTACAACCTTAAAGACAATCTGTTAAAGTCCCTGTGTCTTTTAGAGGGGATTATAGTCTCTTTAATGATCCTTCCAATTAATAAAAAAAAAATCCTTCAGTGATCCCAGGTTTCAAAATTTGCACAATGTGCTTCTTAAGAGGGGTAGCTTTGCCTTTAGGGGGCATTTGGCCCTATCTGGAGATATTTTCAATTGTTGTAATTGTAGGGTTTGCTTGATCATTGGAGGCAAAGATAGTGACGCTTTCTCTCATACTTTGGACATGTAGCTAGGTGAGGTTATTCCTTGGAAAGGGACATAAGGCTTGGAAAGGTAGATGATTGGTCAGCGAAGGAGAGGAAGACCCCCGGTGAGATAGACTGACACAGTAACTGCAGCATTGGGTTCAATTGTGTCAGAGGTGATGAGGGTGGCACAGGTAGGACAGAGTTTAGGTCTTTTGTTCATAAGGTTGCTATGAGTTGTACTCAGCTTGGTGACACCTAACAACAACAACGACGGGCAGGTAGAAGCTGTAAGTGCTGTTCAACAATATATGCGCAGCAGCCCCCTCAATAAAGAACTATCCAGCCCAAAATGTCAATAGTGCTGCAGCTGAGAGATCCTGCCACACACCACAGATTGTTTTGAGGCGGCAGAGTTTCTGAAGGCAGGTGTGTGGGTACATCTCCTGCCAAGGACGAAATCCAGTGCAAGGCAGGTTGGCAGGAAAGTATAACAGGGCCACCCACACTTTGCTTACGAAGGATGGTCTGAGCCCCTGAAGGTGGCTAGGCCTTGGAGGGAGACTTTGCTTTGAAGTGGCTGGGCTGGGGGAGAGAAGGCTGGCATTGGCCGGCAGCCTCAGCTCCCCAAGCACAGGTGCCCTTTCTCTGGCCTAATCATCCCGTTCTCACACCCAGGCGGGAGGTGGCCGGGTTTGAAGTTCAGTGGTTGTTTCCTGTGACTTCGTGGCCTCTAGCGCCCCTGCTGCATGGATAACCCTCTTGCTGGAAACACTCCTCTCTCTCTTTCTACTTCTCTTTGTTCATCAAATGCCAGGGGCACACCACAGGCCAGGGCCATGCGGCTAAATCTGCCCACTCTAGTGACCTATTTGATCATTTCCTCTTTGGAGACTTGCAACAAAGTTGATGTCACCGGAGTGTGGCTGCACAAATTATTCTCCACCAATTCCCGAGTCCTTTAGAAGTCCCTGTGTGCTCAGCCCCGCTCGGCCTGACACATTTATCAAAGCCTGCATCTGACACTCAACTCAAGCACAGGAAGCCAACTCAAACCTCCTCCAGGAAGCTGGCCTGGTCCCCAAGGCTTCCGGTCAGAGGCTTAGCCAGATTCCATTTGGAAACATCCTAAGCCCACACTGTACCTGTCCCAGGACCAGTTCCTCCAGGAGTGAGCACAAATGCCCCCAGTATTTCAGAGAAATTCCAGGGCATTGCTGGGAGGAGGGGCTTCTACAGGTTTCATCGCTGCTTCCACAGCTTGGTGCCTGGGCCTGACGTGTAATTCGTCACCCCCCCCACCGCAGTTTCACCCCGTGGCCTCTTGGCAGACACACAGAGGATTTCCATGGTGCTGTAAAAGACAGAAATAATTGCTGCCATTAAAAGAGCCAAAGCAAAGGTGTTGTAAGGACCTGAGTTTATTATCTTTATATCCTCTCTTTCCAGCTCTGACCTATGTTCAAACCAACCATCGATCCAATGCCCCATTCACGCCAAGGGTGTTGCTCTGTGGACCTGTCGGCAGTGGAAAAAGTCTGCAGGCCGCCCTGTTGGCCCAGAAATATGGCCTTATCAATGGTGAGTGCAGCCAGTACCCTCCCATGGGATCTTGTTTTGGGGGAGAGGGTGGAGTGATTAGAAGCACTTCTTTCTTGCTCTCTACTCTTAACAATTTTCAGTTAGTGCATCTTTACAGGGGTAAGATTTTCCCCCTTTCCAAACGATATTGCTATAAAAACATTAACCAATAAAAGCCTGTCCACTGGACCGTTTTCTAGTCATCATTTTGAACATCCTCTGGAGTGGTAGTTTACTGTGTTGTTCGTCAGGCGTGTTTCCATCTAACCCCTGCATTTCCCCCTCGAAGCTTCAGCTCTGGCATAATACAGATCTGCTGTTTATTTATTTTCTTCCATTTTGCTTGGCTTGCCAACCCAGGTCAGCATGTTTACAGGCAAACAATTTCTGAACCAGAGAGAGACTTTTCACTCTGCACAGTTTCAATAAATATTTTACCAAGAGGAGAGAAAAATATTGAAATCAGCTCTCCAGGTCTTTCCCAGGGTGGTCCCAGGCGGTCTTGGATGCCAGCTTACCTTCAAGAGGATAAAGGGTTGGAAAGGAGAAAGAAATTGTAGCAGACACACAGTTCAGGCAGGGGAAGGATAAGACACAGCTTCCCCGAACAGTCCAGAAGCCCAAACAACCTTCACTTTATTCACTAAGAAAATATGAAGCCCACATCCCAAATATATATATAATCTCAAAACAATCAAGTGTTGAATAAAAATGTTTTTACTTAGGTCTCCTCCAATCTAAAATTCCAAAGTCACTGCAAGGAATCAGAAATCAGTGGCAAAAATCAACACTGATAAAATGAAGATAGAGAATAATTACTGATAAAATGAAAAAGCCAAACTCATTACCATTGAGTCAAGCCTGACTCATAGCAGCCCTGGAGGACAAAGTCATACTGCCTGTGGGATTTCCAAGGCTATAAGACTTTCCACGGCCCTCCATCCCTCCAACTCCCATCCCCCACCCCCGGCCCACATCCTGGGTCTCCTCCAGCCACATCCTAGGCTTACTGCTGCAGAGGAGCTGATGGCTTGAAGAGGCAGACGTTTTGTTAGCAGGTGAGTGCTTTAACAATTGCACCACTATGGATTCCTGCAGTTTTGCTTTATATAGAAAATAATCTAGACAGTTTAGAATAAAAATTTGCCTTCCTGCAATTAATGTTTTGGGGTTTTTTAGCCAATAACTGAGTGATGTAATTTTTTTTTCTTTTGATTTTGCCTCCTAGGAATAAGATTAAATTCCCAGCTATGGGCAAGGATGCCTTCTTTGTTCAGCATGAACAGCAATCTAACTTGTTATACCTGCATGCTCATTTAAGTGTCTGCATTTATTGTTATGTGAGGGAAGTCAACTGATACTGTGGAAATGGCAGAGGGACGATAAAAAAAGCGATACCTTAACACAGCAATACCTTAATACAGAACACAGCTTCATTAAAATAATTGTCACTGTGCTGTATTTTGTTTGAGCAGAGACTCTCATTCAAAAAAGTTTATTTGTCTTTTAAAATTGTAATTCTTTTCACTGCACCATTCATGAAGAGATGAAATTACCTGCCTAGATTTTTCCAGAAATGCAAAGAGAAAAGCTTATCATAGGTTTTCCTCTGCAGATAGTCAAGTTCTCCCCAACGGGGCAGTTTTAGATAATGGAGCATTTGGAGACTAACTCAGAAAGTTCCCATTTCTCAGACTGTTCTCAGTAAATACAGTACACATTGAGACTGAAGTACATCAGTGGGAAAGCTCTAAGTTCTGCGGAGATGGTCAGAGTACCATTAGGTTTTCTCTGCAAAGGCCTTTCCAAATTCAGAGCTGCAGGAAGGACCAGCTACCCTCCCATCACCCTGACTTATATTCTAATCCCTACTTTGATGGATCTCTAAATCACAGGAGAATACCAACAAACAAACGAGCAAACAACTTTAACTTCCATGAAGTTCATTAAAGCTCATTTACAGTTTGTGGAAATGAAAACACATTTCTGAAACGTAAAGGCCACCAATGATTAAGATGTTAATCTTTTCATCAATTGTGAAATTTGACCCAAGTACTTCCTTCTTGCTTGCTTGCTTGCTTGCTTGTTTTCCCTCACTCCTAGTTTTCTCTCTGATACGATTTTTTTTTCAATTTGTTAAATTGTGATTTATATTAAGACTTTACAAAGCAATTTGATTTTTTCATTCAACTATAGCTACGTATTTTGTGCTATAACATTAATTTGAATCCTTATAATGTAATAACACTTTTCCCACTTACCCCTTGTAATTTTTTTGGGGTTTTTAAAAATTTATTATTAATTTCAAGGAAAATTTACAGAGACTTTGGATTTCCATTCATTCATTGTTGCACTTTTCTCCCCTCTCAACCCTCCCCCCTAGCACACACACTACCCTCTTGGAAAAGTAAAAGAAAAATTCTTTCATTGTTTTACAATCCCTCCCCCCAGGTCCACTCCACTATGCAGCCTTCGCCCTTGACTCCTGTCATGACAAAAATACCTAATCACATATCCCTTTTAAACAATTTTCTCCCTCATCTGTTTCAATGCAGTATACATTATTGAACCCATCTTTCTCAGTCTCCTCCCAACCCCAGCTCAGTCCTGGTTTACAACAGTGGTACCATGTAGTATTTGTTCTTTTATGACTGAGATACTTCACTCAGCACAATGTCCTCCAGGATTACCCATTTTGAATAATATTGCATGAGTTCATTGTTTTTCAATGCAGCATAGTATTCCATTGTGTGAATGCACTACAGCTTCTTTATCCATTCTTTTGTTGATTGGCACTTAGGTTGCTTCCATCTCCTTGCTATTGTGAACAAAGCTGCAATAAACATGGGTGTGCATATATATCTGATTGGGTGTCAGTTATGGTCTCTTTGGGATATATTCCAAGTAGTGGAATTGCTGGGTCAAATGGTATCTCTATTTGCAACTTCTTGAGAAAGCACCATACCGCCTTCCACAGTGGTTGCATTGTAATTCTGATTTCCATTAATCCTTCTAAACCCTTTCTTAAGTGATGATGTGGTGATCACCCCATTAATATATAGTGCATTTCCTTTTACCCATCTGAATATGTATCTATAATCTATTTTGTTGTTGTTTTTCTATAGCTATTGTCCTTTCTCTAAGTTCAAAGAGTTTCCACAGTCATGTTTAGGACTCTGTTTAGGCACTCTTGTTTTGCTTGAGGATCTGTGTAGATTGTTTCTTTGTTTAAGCCTCTTCTTTAGAGTCAACAAGATCTCCAGGAGGACACCTGCATTTAAGGCCAAGCCCTTGTTTGTCTCCATTTTGGAAACTGGGTGAAGAGAATAGAGTCTGTAAAATGGGCTCTCTTGTTTTGGTTGAGGGTCATTGTGGAATGTTTTTTGGTTTTTTGTTTGTTTTGTTTTTTTAAATTACTATTAAAGCCTCTTGTTTAGAGTCAACAAAACCTTCTGGAGGGCCCTTATATTTAATAAGTCCGGTCCAGGGGATTATCTTTTAATCCTTTGCTACTATATTTTGGAGGAACATTCTTCTAAGTCGTACAGCACTCTTCTGTCAATTTGCTGTGCTCAGGTAATCTAGGTTTGCTATGATGCTGAGCCTTTTACCTTCGAATTCTCAAAAGCCATATGGCTGCCCATGGTGGACAGTGCTTGGTGGAGCTCCCAGTTTTAAGACAGGTTGGGAAGCAGGAGTGGCATCCACTCCCTTAACCACATGCCTCTGGAAACTCTATGAACTTGGAGAAACGATAGTCATAGAAGGGCCTCAGGTCTTTTGTTCATAGAGTCTCCATGAGTCGTGCGTGACTCAATGGCAATCAATAACAACAATAATAACAACAATAATAACAATAACAATAATAACAATCAAAAACAACAATTTGTTTACTAATTTTCACTCCCTTCTCCCTCGTTTTTCATCACTAGGAACCATCTAGCAATAGTTCTACCTGTGTAAACCTTTCTTTAACTTTTTTAATAATAGTTGTTGTTTTGTATACTGTCAAGTCAGAACTGACTCATACCTCTGGCTGGTTTTCAGATGCAGTTAATTGCATGTGAAGAGATTGCCCATCCTTCTCCCATGGAGCAACTTGTGGCCTCAAATTGCATGCCTTCACGATTATAGCACAGTTTCTTGACGCTAGGCCACCAGAGCTCCCTATATTTATAACACTTGTTTGTTGTTGTTAAGTGCTGTTGAGTCGCTTGCTACTCATAATGACCTTATTATATACAATAGCCCTGAACCTTGCTCTCTTCTGAGTCAACCTCATCGTCTCTGGTACACTCGCCCCCATTACCCCAGTCACTGAGTCAATCCATCTTATTCAGGGTCTTCCTCTCTTGAGATATCCCTCCACCCTCCTGAGCATGATGTCCCTCTCCAAGGACTGGTCATTCCTTGCAACATGCCCAAAGTATGTCAGCCGAATCATTTATAACAGCAAACAGATGAAAGTATGTCAGAATCCTTGCCTTCAAGAAGCAGCCTGGTCTCACCCTCTCTAGGACAACCTGTTTATTCTCCTGGCATCAATGGTATGTTCAATACTCTTTTCCGGCACCATAGCTCAAAGGCATTGATCGATTCTCCTTCCATCATCCCAGCTTTCTGATGCATAGGAAGTAATAGTGAAGACCATGGCCTTGATCAGGTGCACCTTAGTCTCCAGACTGACATCGTTCCTCTTCAGTACTCTGGAGAGGTCCCTGATAGCAGATTTTCCCAATGCAATGAATCTTTTTATTTCCTGGCTGTGGGTACCAAGAGTTGATTGTCAAGCCAAGCAAACGAAAGTTGTAACTATCTCAATTTCCTCATCATCTATCATGATGCTACCAGTCAGTCCAGTGGTGAGTGTTTTTGTTTTCTTGATGTTCAGCTTCAATCCATATTGAAGGCTGCAGTCCTTGACCTTCTGCAGCAAGCACTTGAGGTCCTTCTCAGTTCAGCAAGCAGGGTTGTGTCATCTGCATAACACAGGTTGTTAG